TTAGTAATTTCTTGCAATGTAAATTGTCCTTATATTCTTTATTTGATCTACATGTTGTGGAATAATGCATAATAAGTATGCATAATCTTTGCCTTACATAAATTACCATCTGATACATTTTCACTCAGCTACAAGCCACAACACTATCACAGATTGGTGTCACATGACCTGCTCTGTCATATTGCATTTGATTTAGTTTTCAAAAAATAATGAAACTTTCAAAAAATAATATTACAATTGACTTCTTAAAACAGATTTATCTTCTCACCTTTCATGAATTCAAACAGATTTATCCACATACAACAATGACATTTGTGAAAGCATATTCATATATTGTAAGAATATATTTAATTGACATAAAATTTATATTGTTTTTAACAATATATATATATATATATATATATATATATATATATCAAAGTAATTTAAATTCACAGTACTTATCAGAGGTCTTACTTCTGATACAATAATTATTGTTCCCGCTAATTACTGAGCACTCGATTGGCAGAAATTCTGTTTGCCTTGATATATTGATTGAATAATATAATTTTATGCATACCAGTTAATGGCTTTACTTTTCTATTTTAATTCATATATATATATATATATATATATATATATATATATATATATACAAACAGATTTGGTTAAATAAATTTTAGACATATCATGTCAATTAGTTTTCATTGTGTTCCTTCCAAGTTTTAGAAAATTGAGTAAGAAAAATACCAAAATTTTCTTTTGAATAGTTTTTATTTTCCTAAGTACTTTCAATCTCATCTGTGACCATCTTCAGAAGGTTAAGTTGTCTGTGAGTATGTATATGTTTCTGTGACTTTAAAACATTTCAACTGTTCAAATTTCAAAGTTCACATGTTTTTAGGTTCTTTTCAGTGTAATGGGAGTAACTTTTTTCTTTTTGTTTTCATGTATATAATTTTTTATAAGCATTTAAGGACTTTTTTGCTATATACTCATAGTTGAGTTTAACTCTCTTATATAAACGGCTTAAAGGATTTTTACTTTTTTGCTTTTTATTGTTTTTATGTAATATACATGTATTTTCAACTAACATCCGTCTAATCTGAAAGTCTGGACATGAGTGTTCCTTTAAGTGCTGATGTTCAGCCAAATATATATATATGTATTTATATATACACACACACACACACAAACATGCATATATATATATATATATATATATATATATATATATATATATATATATATTACTTCAAACATCATTCTTAGTGGATACCCATATTTAAGTAGGCACTCCAATTATAATCAGTGTTTATTTACAAGTACATATATATATATATATATATATATATATATATATATATATATATATATATATATATATATATATATATATATATATATATATATATATATATATACATATATATATATATATATATATATATATATATATACATATATATATACATATATATATATATATATATAAAAACATATATATATATATATATATATATATATATATATATATATATCAGTAAAATTGAATGATAATCCAACAGAAGGGTAAATGTTTATGGTTTCACTGACAAACCAGGGTCATCAGGAATAGTTCTTTTTCACAAGAACAAAATCTAGATTTACAAGACAAAACAAAATTCACATTAAACAGCTGACACTTGATTTTTACCTTAACTTATCATTCTAGAAATTAGATATTAAATAATTTCAAACAATTTTTTTTATTCATTTATTGTTTACTCCAACCAGATCAAAATACCAACTCCTTAGGCGGGGGGATATACTTTTTATCCCCATTAACACTATCCAATCAAACCATACCCATTTTTTCAATTTCAAGTTTAAATTGGACTGGTTTTCAACAATATCAAAGCCAAGCTTTATTTTGTAAATCTTTGCCACAGAATGTTTAAATTATTTAGCTTCATTTTGGCATAGTTTTATAATATCAATTTGGAGCCATTTTTTTTCAAATCATTACACACCAATTTTCATTCATGTTTTTTCTTTCTTCATAAATCATCTGGCATCATTTTTGCAGTGTCTTTTCAAAGAAAAAATATGCTAGTAACAATCGAATTTTCTTAATTTTTTTTCATGCAATTCAATATTATGTTTTATTAAAAATAATTTTTAGATTAATTCTTACATATTCTAACATTTTCTCAGTTTTTTATACAATTTTGACATTATTTTTTTTTTTATTAAAATAGTTTTTGTATTAATTTTTAAATATATATAAAGAAAGTCTTTCTTGTTAGATCCACAGGAGGGACATGGATGTTATGTTTTATATTCCTTATTTAGGATGCATTTTATTTGCTCATTATCTAAACTGTCTCTGGTTACCATATCTGTTTCCTTCAAGTTCTAAGGAGGAACTGCTTCTTGAATCCCATTTCCAATGGACTATGAGTCCCAAAGCCCTTTAGGAAAATATATCACATGAGCCACAAAGCCTTTTAGAAAAATTCATCCTGTAAAAAGAGAGATAATCTCCTTCAGCATTCCTCCAAGGTGTTCCAACCCAGTATAAGACTACATGGAAATCTGAAAATACACTGAGATAGCCAAAGATACATTCCTAAAGCTAAGCACAGTATTGAGAGACAGAAAAACTTTGTTAGAAACAAAGAAAAATGTACTGAACTGTTATATGTTATCTGTCCTCTTATATGGCAGTAAATGCTGGACAGTCACCTCAGAGATGAAGAAGAGATTTGAATCAACAGAAATGTGGTTCTGCAGAAAGATACTGGGGATACAATGGATGGAATATCTGAGTAACAACAAAGTTTTAGAGAAAATGGAAACAAAAAAGAAACTTATACTTAATATCAGGAAGAGACAGTTGAAATTTCTGGAGCACATAATGAGTGTCATGGAAGCCTTGTCACCTAATGTATTTTCTTTTTTGTATGGCCTTGTGTCATATGACCAGACTCCCACATCCAAGCGTAGTTGATAGTCCTTTAGGATATCAATGGTTCTTGACAAGGTTAGCAATGGTAGAGAATGGATGTAATTGCAAATACATAGAACTTTGACTTTCGCTGTCGCTTATAGTTGACAGGTGGGGATTTTGGAAGAGTTTGTGACGAATACTTGTTGCTTTTCCTTTTTTTGGGAGAGAATCTCATATTATGTAGGAAAGTCAGAAAGTTGGGCTAGGATTGAGTCAAGGATGATGAAAGATAGTTTCAGGCAAAGAAGTTGACTACAAAAGGTCTATTACAAAAGTCTAGGAGTTTGAGCCATATGGTGAAGAGGAAGAGATACGTCTTACCGACTCGATGCCTGTAGATCGTCTCTCGCACATGAATACTTATTAGTAGGAATTCGGTAAGACACGTGACCTTTGACTGGTGGCAAATGCCAACTGTCAAACTGCTTTGAAGGGTGTCCATGCTTTAACGATGAAGAAAAGAGAAAAAGAAAAGGTTTGAGGCAACCGTTGATTGAAGGAAGTGGGGTGCCGATATGGCCCTCTTCCAAAATATCTAATTATGAAGAAATCAGATAGCTAAAGGTCTATCACTGTTATGAAACATCTCAGAAAGGTAACTCATTGCCCTGAGCATGTTTGTTTAAGACTAGGAACCGGTGACATAGATTCAAGTTGTGGATCTGATGTTTCCTGATGTCTCTTGGGCATTGGGGCTTGTTCCAGGAAAGCAGGTTTAAGGCAGTCTATGGATATGTTATCCGTAGTTTTTCCGCGTTGTATTGTGTACAATTTTTCTGCCCAGCACACACTTTGAAAGGGCTGGAATATGCAGGGGTAACAGGTCACTTAACCATGTCATTGCGTATAAAAAACATATTAACACTGTTGTAATATATGTGGCAAGTAGACGTCAGTAAGACAATGTCTAGGTGGAATATAGCTGAGTTTGGACATTTTTGCTCAAAGCTCTTGTATGAAATTTGATGCTGAAGATGGCTTCCAGGGTGGATGAGAAATATTGTCCTGAAAGCAACAATGTTGTACCAAAAACTAAGCTCAGTTGCTAAAGCATTTAAATCTAACTTCATGTTATTCCTAAGAAGAGACAGAAAGACTACGGGTAGGTGGTCTACCCAGTTTCATGTTTGGTCGATAACGCTGTTTTTAATGTCCTGTGAAAGTGCTCTACCAACCTATTGGCACAAGGGTGGTAAGCAGTTGTGTAAATGTACTTTGCTCCTAATAGATTCAAAAATTCCTTAAATAGACTAGACTGGAATTGCAATCCCTGGTCAGTAGTTATGACTGTAGGGGGTGCCAATACAAGGAAGGAAGGAAGGCTTGGAAAATCTGATACTAACAAGACAGATTGAGGGACAGAGGAAAAAACCCATAACATACTTGATGAACTTAAGTAAATGGATGGCAGAACAGGGTTTAGGGGAAATAACAAAAAGATATAATTTATTATGGTCTTAAGGGACAGGAAGATGTAGAGGGCCATGATCACCTACATTTTGAGGGGACACGGCACATAAAGATACCTAATAATTCTCAGTGAGTGTATATATAATATATACATACCAAGATAGATAGATAGAAAAAAAGAAACAGGTTGATAGATAGATAGATAGATAGATAGATAGATAGATAGAATTTCTTGCGTTGTCATTGTAATTTATGCATAACTATTTAAAAAAAAAAAAAAAAAAAAAAAAAACAGCGTTTATTTTTTAATGTTTGACAGACACCTTTCAAGTGTAACAAATAAAAAAGCTAAAAAAAGACTATGAAATTATGAAATATGAATCAATTTTCTTTGGTCGGATATAAAGCATAAAATGATTTATAAAAATCACATTCTTTTTTCTATTAATGGTAATTTAAGCTTTTTAAAAGTTTAATATAAAACTTTTTAATTAAATACAACAGGACAATAAAAAATCTCTTCTCCGAAATAGAATTTGCATATCGTAGGCGAAGGTTGTTCGTGTAAGTGCCTTGTGATATTCTGGTCTTGTGCTGTTGCCGCTTGAGGGCCCACGAAATGGCGGTGTTAAGTGTCTATATCATCAACAAGGCTGGTGGACTTATTTACCAATATGACCACAACAGTTCGCGCCCAGAAATAGAAAAGACATTTGGTTATCCATTAGAAGTTGTTCTCAAAGTACACGATGACAAAGTTGTAGTTGCTTTCGGTGAAAGAGATGCTATTAAAGGTTTGTTTCTTCCTTACGCATCAGAAAAAAAAAACATTTCAAACAAGTGCCCTATCGATCTGCCTTCCACCTGAAAAATCATTGCTAATTGAACAGAGTTTTTCTGTCTTTATAATTTTTCTCAAATTTTTATGTTATATACTAAGGAATTGGATCTTTCCTGCTAATATATTTCAATTAGAATCGATTTTTTTCCTCCTTTTCGAACCTGACTGTAAAAAAAATACAATAATTAACACTAACAGTAACACCCTAAGATTTAATTAATTCGTCTTCTTGTCATTATTATTATGGCCTCTATAGTACTTGATTACAAACTGTCAATTTTTATACACTCACATTCATCAAAGTGTCCAAAACTTTGAATTTTAAAAGGGATTTATGCTTATCTTGACGTTAGTAATTTAGGGGAAAATTATTCATTATTAAATTAAATAACATATAGCAAATAAACTTCCAATAATTGGGAGTAGAATTTAAAACTTTATTTAATTTATTTACATTTTTACAGTAAAAGTTTTTTGTGTAAAGCCCTGTATAGGTTATTTTTCTGTGAATGTCTGTTTTCTAGTGTAAAAAAAAATAGTATTATTTAAATGTTTGTTGTAGAAAAGGACAAGTGTGTTGTGATGTGAGTAGCTTAAAGCAAGTTTTATGCTCATGTATTTATTTTTAGTCAATGTTACATTTTCCATTAAAAAAAATAATAATAATACAAGTATATTGATTTTTAGATAATGTACTTTCAGTTTGGCTGTAAGTATTTTGATCTCTACTTCTTTGCTTCCCTTCCTTGAGTAAAGGGAGTCGCTTGGCATAGACAAGAAGACAATTTTTTAAAATTTTTTGAGTTGACTGACCACAACCCCTTGCGAAGTCTTGTATTTATATAAACTCAGCATTGATTGACCAACATAAAAATTCCCTGCACATAATGTACTTTCAGTGATACTGGTGATATTTATATCCCAAATCTAGAATTTGATATTGTTTTCATTTCATTATTTGGACTATTATCCTCATCTTTGTTGCCATACAACGTTTGGGCCTTCAGGTGGTTGGAATGTCAAACTTTATTTCACTCACTGGGGTAGACTGTTCTACATGCCATGTTTAATGAATGTCAGTTATCAGTTATCGCCTGTTAATTTCCCTCTGAAAGTTCTCCACTGCCTTAGCCAGGTATTGAACTCACACTCTTTGGGTACTGTCACTGGATCTAATGCCTTTATCCATGTGTCCTTGAAGACATTTGTGTATGAATTTCTGGGTATTATAAACCTAATGTCTTCAGCAACCATTTTTTACCAATGCTCATATTGCACTTGTAATAAATATGGCGACAAAGCTGAGGACAATAGTCCGAACAATGTAAAAATGTACATAATACCTCATCTCAGAAATATAGACAGTTTTCATTTCAGTTTTTTTTTTTTTAGATATCTGTTTTAATTAATTGCAGATAGCTGGAAGTGTTCTGAATTATCACTTTTAAGTACATAGAGGAGGTGCTGTCAAACTAAATGAATTCACAGCACCAAGGAATTATTTTACAAAGTTTGCATAAAATTGTCTAATTCCATTAAAACCAGTATTATAGATGATTGTGTAACTTAATTGCTTTCCATCCCAACTTCCTATGCAAAAGAAACTAAAACCAATTCTAAAAGTAATATGTAATAAAGTCAGTATTTATATCTCTTGATATTTTCTACTTCTTCACACAAGAAATATTATAGTTGTAGAATTTTTTTTATTATTGTGCTGAGAATACAATCACAAAAAATATATATATAGCTGGCCACTTGTATTCGAGGATAACCATTTACTAAGGTGTCTAGCCAGTCCCTATTGCAGATGCTTGCTCAGGTGCATTTGTGTTTATTTAATGCCCGCAGAGCTCACCTGTGGTTTATACTGCAACTATGCTGAGCAGATCTTAGTTACAGTTTCTGGGAAAAGGCATGTTATCTAGCATGATCAACAATTTGAACAAAGCCAATATGCTCAACCCTCAGCCATGATGACTTTGTGGTAGCACAGCTATCGACAGCCCCCAAGTGTTCCATCTACCCACTTTCATTCAGAAGGCTTGAGTCAATCTATGGTATGGTTTTCAAGTACTTTTGCATACTGGGATCATCATCCTCCTTCCTGACAAATCAACCGTGGTGAGATTCGAACCCGGTTCTCATGATCAGAATGCAAACATTCTAACCACTGATCCACTGGATTAATGCTCATTAGACCTCGAGCCACAATGTTTGTCAGAATCGAAAAGGATTGATTTTTTTATCAATTTAGAAGAGGAAATCCTATTCAGAATATCAATATAGTGTAAAATTGATCCCTAATTTTTTTACAGAGGTATTGAACTTAACTATTACTTACAAATGTCAAGTTTGAAACTGCTTATATCATTGATATCTGCATTTTTTCTTTTTCATTTTGTGAAATTTTTTTTTTTTTTTTTTTTTGTAAAAACTTTTTTAGGGATGGGAGATTTTTTTCAAAAACACATACACACGCATTGAGGTGGGGATAATTAAATGAAATGAAAAATAAATGGGTATATATTTTTTTTAATTTACATAAATTTTTGTTCTTTAAAAATACATATGTCTGATTGTTTTTATTTTAAAAAAATCTGTTTTTTTTTATGCAGAACAGTTAAGTCCAGATAACTCTGTAAAGAGTCTATCGGCATTAATAAGATATAGAGGTTGATATGCTGCTAAACAGAATCAACCAAACCAATATATAAAGAATCAGGAATCAACTTTACACTGCACATTATGTACAAGATCCCCCCCCAACCTTCTGAAATGTTAAAAAAATGTTCAATTCTCACAAATGCAATGAGGAAAGTAATCTACAAAAATTATTTCATTATTTACATTATTCGGACTATTGTCCTCATCTTTGTCGCCATATTTATTACAACATTTTGGCTGTTGTACACTCTGGCCTTCTTCAAACATGACACATGGAACTAGAACAGTCTACCCCAGTGAGCGAAATAAAGGGTTCAGTTTGACATTCCAACCACCTGAAGAAGGCCAGAGCATATAATGGCCGAAACGTAATAAATATGGCAACAAAGATGAGGACAATAGTCCGAATAATGTAAATAATGTACATAATACCTCATCTCAGAAATATAGACAAAAATTATTTCCCAAAACATTTTGCCTGTTTTTTATGAATGAACCAGTCTACTTAACTAGTGCCAAAAATATTAACCAAAACTCCAGCAGATCTTTTAAAGAAAAGAAAAAATGAAAGTTTTTTTGTATCATCAGAGTTGTTGTGTTCAAGTCGGATATTACGGTTAAATTCTGTGTTGTGTTTAGTGATTCCTGCAATCAGGTGCCCAATTAGTAAGGATAATACTTTGCATCACATTTTTGTCTCTATTAGTAATTATGTTGATGGCCAGTGTCAGAAATAATAAGGGATCGAGTTGTGAGAAATGCCAGTATGCATATCATTTTCAAATGCATTCAAAATATCACAAAGAAATCAGAATATCCATCAGGTTACTTGAAACAAAATGATTAAGAATATTAAAACACTTGGATTAACATTCTCGGTATATATAAGTATTCTAGAAAGGTAAACATGTTCTTTTCATCTAAATACCAAAACTTATTTGTCTACTTGTTATAATGAATTAATTCAAAATGGAAAATTCAGTTTAATATTTATCATAAGATTTTCAAATGGTTATGCGATAGTGCTAATTCTATGTTTTACATTTTGTTTTTTCAGTTGGCCACACAGTTCTTGGAATTAATGGCATTCAAGCTGAGGGTAGATTCCTTCGTGATGGCAGAGATATTCTGGAAGTGTTAGCCGCGGAGGAGAATTACCCAATCAATATAAAATTTGGACGACCCAAACTAACGACCAATGAAAAAATTATGTTAGCCAGCATGTTCCACTCGTAAGTAAATATTTGGAAAACAGGATTAACATTCCTCATTCAGAGCAATAAAACAAAATAATGCTGTTGGCATTTTTTTATCCTAATTAACAAATATTTATTAAGATTTGTAAATATTTTAAATATATTTTGAATTCATAATTAAAATCATTCCTGAAAATTTTATATTTTTAATGTTTTTTTTTTTTTTTCACAGCTACTTCACTTCTGATGTCAATTTATAATTTTCTGTTTTTATCTTCAGGTTATATACCATCAGCTGCCAATTGTCTCCTGAACCGCGTTCCTCAGGAATAGAAATGTTGGAGACAGACACTTTTAAGTTACATTGTTTTCAGAGCATGACAGGTAAAAATTTACGACCAAGAAATGATTACCTTCTCAATTGTTCACTTTTCTGAAGTCTTTTCCTTTCTTAATCTGATATATATATATAATAACACATTTTTTTTAAGTTTTATTTATATATATATATATATATATATATATATATATATATATATATAGTAACACATTTTTTAATATTTTATATATATATATATATATATATATATATATATAACACATTTAAGTTTTATATATATATATATATATATAATATATATATAGTAACACATTTAAGTTTTTATATATATATATATATATATATATATATATATAGTAACACATTTAAGTTTTTATATATATATATATATATATATATATATATATATATATTATATATATATATATATATATATATATATATATATATACATTTAAGTTTTATATATATATTATATATATATATATATATATATATAAGTTTTATATATATATATATATATATATATATATATATAGTATAACAAATAAATGTTCAACTTATCTGTCCCTATTCTGAGTTTTGTAGAGATTGTCAAGGAGCTCAATTGTAAAATTAAATTTGCAGAAATCATCTTGCTATTAAGAAAAATATAAATTCTTCAAATGGACTGACAGGACAGTTTTCTGTAAAAATGTTTCTTCATGTGTCTAACAAAATCAAAAAAGGAAGCGTTTCATCTCATTTTTTCATACTGGATTCTTTCTACTTTGACTTTTTTAATCTGTCAATTGGCATTTCTTTCATCTTAATTTCATTTGCGTTTTATCACAACTCTCAGATCGTAATGCTGTTGTCATCAGTTAGCAATGCAGATCATAAGGAAAGTATAATCCTCCAACAAGATTTGAACTTGAAGCCTGTCTTAACATGACAGCTGCCTTCCTAATTATGCTATAGAGATCACTAGCTGCAGTCATTCAAATCTAACCACATAGCTTTTTTGTATTTCCCCAGCCATCTGATATAGCATCTTTTGTTTTATTATTTATATGTGATCATGATATCAAAATTAATATTTACATTTAATATCATAGGTGAAACATTGTTAATTATTATTAAATTTTCAATGAGCTAGTATTTCTTTTATCTTAAATTCAGTTGGTTTGTTTTGTTTTACAGCATATAAACCTCAATGGGTTATTTAATGCCGACAACTTTTTGTTTTGTCAAAAATCTATTTCTGGTAAAAATTTTTTCCTCAAAAATGTACAGCTCGTAATATTATTTTCAAAAACATATTGCTGGTAATAGTTTTTTTCAAAAAAATATATTGCTGGTAATAGTTTTTTTTCTTCAAAAATTTATTTCTGGTAATAATTTTTTACAAAGTATTTCTGGTATTAAAACCTATTTTTACACTTTTATAATGATTTTTTTATCTCAGAACCGTCATATAGCCTGACATACTTTTACCAATTTCACCACAGAGGATCGTTCAGTTGGCAAAATTGGTAAAAGAACATCAGGCTATATGACAGTTCTGTATAGGATACAGGTTCGATTCCTGTCGGAGGACGCATATTTTCTATGACAATTTCTCAGACATTCAGGCCAGTAAATGTTGTTTAATACTGTTTATTATAAACAGAACATTTACTTAAATATTTGTATGTATAAACATAAAAATGTCTTAAAATAATTGTCGGACTTTGTCCATTTCATATATATATATATATATATATTTATATATATTATATTTATATATATATATATTATATATATTTATATATATTATATTTATATATATTATATTTATATATATATATATTTATATATATATATATATATATATATATATATATATTTATATATATATATATATTATATTTATATATATATATATATATTATATTTATATATATATATATATATTTATATATATATATATATATATATATATATTTATATATATATATATATATATATATATATATATATATATATATATATATATATATATATATATATATATATATATATATATATATATATATATATATATATATATATATATATATATATATATATATATATATATATATATATATATATATATATATATATTATATATATATTATATTATATATATATATATATATATAGACCTAAAAATTTAACTCAGTATAATTCACTCAGGAATTTCCAAAGAAAGCCCTTCATTTACATATTCAAGTGAAGACTGATTGTAAATAATCATATCAAACAATTAATGAGATAAGTGAAAATATACATATAAACTGATTGTATTTAACTTTAGTCATGTTTCCAATTAAACTAATTGTTTTGTTTTGTTTTTGTTATACAAATTTCATTTATATTTCACTTCTTCCATCTTCTTTTTATTATTTTAATTCAACTGGTACTCATTTATTTTGTTTAATTACAATGAGTTATCGCATTAAGTGTTTCCCCTCCCATCCCTCAGGTCACAATAATACCAGATTAATGTCAGTTGAACTGCAGTATTTCCATTTTAATAGGTAATGAATTTCCATTGCTCTTATTAGATAATTCCTATCCAGAAGTTTCTCCAAATTTGTTTTCCTCTTCTTTCTCCTCTCAAGATGTAGGTGATCATGGCTCTCCACAACTTCCTGTCCCTTGTAACCCTTAATAAACTTTGTCTTTCTGTTATTTCTCCTAAGCCCTGTACTAACATCCATTTACTCAAGTTCATTAGATATGTTAAGCATTGTTTTCCTCTGCCCCTAATCTTTCCTTGGAGTATCAGATTTTCCAAGCCTTCCTTCCTCATTGTACCCCAGAAATCAATTGCCTCTTCCTAATATTAAGTATTAGTTTCCTTTTTGCTTTCATTTTCTCTAAAACTTCCTCATTACTCACATGTTCAAACCATGGTATTCTCAGCATCCTTCTGTAGAACCCTATTTCTGTTGCTTCATGTCTTTTCTTCATCTTTGAGGGTATCGTCCAGCACTCACTGCCATGCAGGAGGACAGATATCATGTAGCAGTTTATTACTCTTCTTTGTTTTTAGTGAATTTTTTTTTTATTTCTTAGTACTCTGCTTGGCTTGGTTATCCCAATACGCCTTCAGACCTCAGTGTCACACCCTCTGTCCTCCATTAAAACACTTCCCAGATATTTAAATTTCTGCACTTGTTTGATTTTGGTACCCCTGATTTGCAATTCAAACTTTGGCCTCATCTTTTTACTGACAACCCTTCATTTTGTCTTCTTGCAGTTGATGTTTCGTCCTTTCTTCTCATTTTCCTTAACTCCCTTCTGTAGGAGTTTTCTTTCCATATCTGCACTCAACACCCTTATCTGCATAGCTTGTTTTTAAAATGGTGGCCACCAATAATATTATGCATCATTTATTCTCTTTTAAGTATTAAAATAAATCAAGTCTGTTTGAATTTCTGCCTTGAATTTTTGAGGTTAGGAGTCATTATTTCCAGTCAGGCTGATGACCTCATCTTTTTTGTTACGAAATCTGTTACCTGACCTTTCTTCAGGTGTCTCTCAGTAGCCTAAAGGATTAGTGAATTTAGTAACATAATAATTGTGAGTTCAATCCCCAACTGAGTGGAAATAGGGCCAACAATAACTGAATAATTAATCAAGATGATACATCTCTAGACATGGAAAGTAAAAGGATAGCAATTTACTCCTGTAGATTGAATTTTGGAGGTTACTTTGATCGACAAATACCTTCTTTTTTTCTCTTTTTTTTTTTTTTTAATCATTTCAACCCAAGCAAGGTGTGAATGCCACGGTACTCAGACATTTATATTTTACTTCAAATATTACTGTAAGATGATAATCATTTTGAGAAAAAGCACATTTCACTACAAAAAAAATCTTAAGCTTTTACGATACGAAAGAATTTTGCTTTTAATAATCATTATCTTAAAGGGATCAACTAGCTTTTATCTTACTGTTAAATACGAATTTAAATAATTAGGTGCTGCTTTTTATCCAAATACACTGAAATATTTTTAAAAATACTAATTTCAATAAACAAATATTGAAATAAGAAAACTTTTAACTTTAAATTTACATTTAGTAATTTAATCACTTGAAATTTAGTGCTAATTATTAGGCTTATTCTACCTTATAATAATGCTAATTAAAATACTTAAAGTATTGTTTGTTGCAATTTTTACTTGTACTTTTTTGGTGAAATGTCCTTCAGCCAATGTCTGTTTGCTCACGGAATGCCACTGGTATGCAGAGGGTTACAGAGTGAAGCTGAGAGAAAAGACTTGGGTATAGAGGAGACCAAGAAAAGGATAAAAGCTGAATGGGGTTCAAGAAAAGAGAAGATGGCGATTGACATGGCATTTAAATTTTTGAAGATTGTAGTTATCATGGAAGCAAGGAAACGGAAGTGAGTTCCACAGGAAGGACGTACGAGAAAAGAAACTATTGGAGTAGAAGTGGCTGTTACATTTAACTAACTCAACAGTAAAGGGGTGGGACCTATATGCCAATCTAGTAACATGCTTAAACTTATGGTCAGGGCGCCAGGGAAGAAAGCTTGTGAGAGTAGTTGCTATGAAAATATTTGTAGAAAAGACAGAGAGAAGCCATAAAGAATGACATAATGATAATCATAACAAAAAATTAGTCCAACTGTAAATAATATTTGACTTATTATTTTTACTTTTTGGTTTCAGGCATAAAATTCATTGCCCTAACAGATCCACGCCAAGTTGGAGTTGATCAACTACTAAAAAAACTTTATGAAGTCTATTCAGATTATGCTTTGAAAAATCCATTCTATTCTTTGGACATGCCAATACGGTAAGTCATTTTGAAATCTTTCAATTCCCAGCAAACAATGACACTCATAAATTATAAATCTTGTTATTCTGACAAGTAATTCTTTAGGCTTCCAGTAGAATAAGAGAAGGTCATCTATGTAAAGGTTTTAATATTCAACAGAAATATGATTATTTGTGGCTGAGAGGTTAACTCAAACTTTTAATTCTGACCAAGAAGCCTATTTTTTGACAAGAGTGACACTGTTTATTTTCAATTTTTATATATCAACATCAATATGTAGGTGGCATAATGGTTATCAACACTAAAAATGGAATTAACAAGGTCAAGTTCCAGCTGAGACTGTTGCATTCACTTTATATTAGTGCACCTGGAAAAGGTTTAATTATATTTCTCACACCATCAATGATTTACCTTGGTTGGCAGCCAGTCTAGGAGAAAAACAACTCTGAATTCAAAACCACGGAAAAAGCAACAGGAAAGTACTACACTGTCTTTCTCAAGAACAGGTATTGTGAGTTACTATTTACAGATATTTAAGAAAAGGAAATTGTGGAGAGCCATGATTGCATATATGCATATATGTTTTGATATTTGATAAGAAAATAACAAAATTATAAATCCTCCCAAAAGATGGAGTTGAGATTTATTGTTGCACAATTTTCTATTTTCCCTGCAATGCCATCAACCAAAGGTAGACAGTTTTAAGTTAGTTTGGAATCTGAAGAAAATGGAAAACTACAAAATCAAAAATTCCCTTAGAAAAAAAAGAAATAATAATAATAATATGTTAGTAGCAGAGACCCTACAACTGTGTGGATTGTGGCACAGGGAATTGCAAAATAACACTGCCCACTTTGCCCTACAAGACTAAGTAGAATGACATGATTTACACGCTGGGTCATTTTTTGGCACCCAAAGAAAAAAAAGTTTAGCTTTCGGTTGAGAGATTGTGTACCTGTAATGAAAAGCTGTACAGTACTTTATGAAGACAAAGTTTGCTGACTACCAAAAAATTAATATTGTTTCAGGTGTTGAAGTACATAACACTGTCTAGTTTATCATTTAATAGTTGCCCTTAATCTAGAGATGATAAAGACTTTTTCATTTTCTTTTTTTTTTCCTCATTCAATCCACATCAAGTATGTATTTATTGTTCATACTGATTGATGGATGGTTCATCACAGGAAGGGGTGGCTGGTTTCAAAATCTAAGATATTATGACATCTAGTGTCATCATGGTGCAAGCTATTAAAATTATGAAATCTGGATTTTTAATTTTTGTTGGGTTACCAGTCAAAATAAAGGAAATATATTCTATCTTTTAATCAAATAAAAAAAATTGGCAAGATATTTTCCTTGTGGCAGTGAAACAGGCTGAAAGGAAAGATGACCCCCATAATAAAGTACCATAGTGTACAATCTAGATATTTTAGTCAATTTCAAGAACTATTCTAACAACAAGCAAATATGCATACCTGTGTTTGTTGTACTAGAAACCATGGCTGGACATTTAGCCGACAGACATTTCACCAAAAAAGTAAAAATAGTAACAAGCAATATTTTAAGTATTTTAATTAGTAGTATTATAAGGAAGAATAAGTCTAATAATTACGACTGAATTTCAAATGATTAAATTACTAAATCTAAATTTAAAGTTAATTTTTTCTTATTTCAATATTTGTTTATTGAAATTAGTATTTTTAAAAATATTTGAGTGTATTTGAGTAAAAAGTAGCACCTAATTATTTAAATTCGTATTTAACAGTAAGATAAAAGCTAGTCCATTCTTTTAAGATAATGATCATTAAAAGTGAAATTGAAAGATCTTTCATATCGTAAAAGATTTTTGATGTAGTAAAATGTGTTTTTTCTCAAAATACTTATCATCTTACAATATTTGAAGTAAAATATAATATATACAGAATAGATTTTTAAAAAAGCCTATGAAAAATTATAAATTAATATAGTAAATAAATATATGTAGCACATTACAATAAAGAGTGTGATATACATGTAAGTACACCACTACACTTTCAGTTAAATGTCCATCGGCCAATATCTGAGTCCCCTAGAAACAGTCAGAAAATAGTGACATTTTACTCATTGTAATAGTGAAACAGTGAGACACATTCATTTTAAATTTCTATTAAGATAGAAATATTCATAAAAGTTGTAGAGACCTCCTTTCCCAAAATGAATAAACAATTCTGCGGGTAATCAATCAGACAATGATTCTGATTTATGGATCAAACTCAAGTATTAATTTAAAATTTTACAAGATTTCAAATAGATACTTAATCTGAAATTTTAGACCTAAACTGGAGTGTATGAGATTATTTGCTTAAAGTGCTGAATGTTGCCAATGCAAACCTGCTTTTCTGGAACAAACCCAATGCTACTGTGGCACTCTAATCTATTGTTTTATTTCCTTGAATAATTGACGTTAAATTGCATGTGAGAAAAAAGAAACTTGTTTTTAACTAAAAAAATTAATTCTTTAAATATTTTCCTTGTTGATTTTACAGAATCTGTTGAAAATTTAAAGTCATCCTGAATGCAAAGAAGCCTCATTATAAATTTGTTTTAGGCTTGACTTGTAAGAATATACAAATGAATATTTTCAATTTATTTACTGGTGGAAATATTCTGCTGAGATTTCTTTCAATGAAAAAAACTATTTTGTGGATTTTTTTCAATTATTCTAGAAAATCATCCAAAGGTCATGTTTTGGTCAGAAAATACACATCACTGCAATTTAAAAAAATAAATAAATAAATAAAAAAAATGGTTAAATTTCATTGAGGATAAGAACAACTCCAAGATTTATATTTGTCTTTCCCTTCTTCAAAGATAGATATCAACAAAGTGATCTGAGAAATAGGACTCAAGTTACATTCTTAAATAGCCTCGTCAGATTGACTTTCACATGGATGCCTTGCATGGTACCAAACATGTTCAGAAATATCTAAACTGTCAGTTGTATACAACCGCTTTCTCCAGTCACTGAACGCAAGAACAATTAGCTCAGACTGATGACCATGACAACAAATAAAAACCAAAGCTAAAAAGATTCTCATACACATGACAAATCACTATTTACATTATTTGGACTATTGTCCTCATCTTTGTCACCATATTTATTAGAATGTTTCGGCTGTTGTACACTGGCCCTCTTCAGTTGGTTGGAATGTCAAACTGGACACTTCATTTCAGTCACTGGGGTAGACTGTTCTAGTTCCATGTGCCATGTTTAATGGATTTCAGTTATCAGTTACCTCCTGTTAATTCCCCTCTCCAAGTTCTCCACTGCCTTAACTGTGTATTGAACTCACACTCTTTTGGGTCTTGTCACTGGGTCTAACCAATGTCTTTAGCCACTGTGTCAGGCACATGGCACAGTGTACATAATACCTCATCTCAGAAATATAGACAGATACATGACAAATCATTTGACTAGATACAAACACTCAAGTGGAAAAGATTGACAGAACTCAGTTGAGTGACAAATCTCAAAGGAAACAGAGGGTATATTAAATTCACATGTGAATTGAATTTCCGAATTGAAGAGAAGGCATGACAACCCTGACTCACAGGAAACTCTAACACAATTAAATTGAGACAAGTCTTGCACAGACAATTCCTCTTTCACTTGTTACAGTCAAGCAAGATCTCATGACAAGACAAACTCCAATTTAACTTCACATTATGCAGCTTATGTTAAGGGCATAGGTGAATGGCAAAATGTGACTGTCACCTACAAAACACACATGATATACTTAATTGGATGAAAGATCCAAAACATGAATCCAGCACAGTTAACCCTATGACTTATACAGTATTGAATCTTCATAACCAAATGTACTATTTCTGCAGTGCCAAGACTAAATGACCAGATAATGAACACATCATTGAAGAAAATGAATAGACTGCTAATTGAACAAACAACTGGTTGGAAATTAAAAGGGACAAAGAGAATCAAAAATAGAAAACCTTATTTTATTTCAGAAGAAAAATTGTTTTTGTTTCAACTTTCGCCATCATAAAATAATGCATGCATCTTTCCACACACAAATGTATAGTACACATCTTTCCATGCATTTTCATATCTAAATGTTTTTATGTATTGTCAGGTTGTAATTAAATCTTGAGAATTTGTATATTGGTGTTTGTCATTAGTTACTATTCTTTGTTCTGAAATCATGCATTTGACCTTGCACTGAATTCTACCACTGTGGAATGGTAAACTCAAGCATCTTTTAGATGACAAGTTGTTTTGTTTTTTTAAACTTTGTGCTGTGGTAATTGGCCAATATAAACATTAATTGATGATACCTGCTGTTTAAGGGCTAAAATGAAAACGTGTTAATAAATGTGAAAAGTTTATTATTTTTGTATTTGTTTTTCTTTTAGATGTGAATTGTTTGAAACGAACCTTCAAGTGTGTATAGAACAATCTGAACGTGCAGCCACTGGAATGTGAGAAAATAAAGGATACAAAATGAAAAAGCTATGATCTCCATTGGACAATATTTTCTTTATAAGTCTGGACACTTGGATTGCATTTGGCCAAGTCACCAATCATCAACACCTGAAGACAGGCTTATCGAATGATTAGCCAAATCAAATCCTGATATTCATTCCTGTTTAAGTTCAGTTGCCTGATTTTTCATTCAAAAAAAGTCTTTGGAAATGTAAATAAAATTAAAATTTGTTTCTTCTATATCTGAATTTATCTGTTGGCCAACAATTTTCCATTTCTGCCCCCCCAATAATATTTTCTACAATTAGTTGCTTCCTCATTCAGTTCATTTTCTCTTTGACTAATTGGAGAGCAAGTTACTTCATAATTTATGACCTGTTTTATGTACATAAATTAAATAAATATTTCTAAAATTACAAAAATATCCGTGTGATATCAAATGAAAGTAACTTCCAATTGTCTTTTAAATCATTGTGCATTAATTTTCTCTAACTAGCCAAGTACCCATTCTGGAAATAGAAAAGTAAGTTGTTGCAGTTCTCTTACCTCTCTAAAACTCCTGTATAAATATTTTCAGGAAAACATTTTTAAATTCTTGGCATTATGCTAAGTCCACTTGAATTTTCTACACTAGACATAGCTACATGGAGCTGACCACAAGAGAAACATTTGAATAATTTGCTAATATTTTATATTATTATTTATTAATTCAGCAAACTATTATTTTTTTCACTTTTAAATTAATTTGGCAAAGTTAAGAAAATCTAATTAAACAGATTATTTTGATTTATTTAGATAATTCCATGAAATGATTTTGGTTTAATTCAACTAATTTGTTGTAATATGAATTTTCAGATGACAACAAGTTGCTGGTTTTCTAACTTGCAACTAAAATTTGACAAGGCAGATACAAACACAAATTTAAAAATAAATCTTTATTAACAAACATTGCTTATATATAATTTTTAAAAATAAATAACACAGAAGAAATATTTATTAAAACATTCTTTTGAAAATTGTTTTGGAAAGTAACTGTTACTGCTAATGTTGTAAACGCCATTTGCCTGACACAAATTTATAAAAGATGAATATTGTTAAAAGAAATTGCAGTCATGTAAATGCGGAGATTCACTATTGAAAAAAAAATGCTTTGCAGAACAGACTCCCATGTGTATACTTCCCTGTACACTTTAATTTTGACCTCTTCAAGTCAAGGGTCAATTGTTATCTATCTCCCTATAGCTCCCAATTCCTACCACTTTCTCTTCAACTTATATCACACACCCCTCTCATCATTACCATTTCGGCCATAACACTACCTTGAATGGCTCTCTGGTCTTGTAGTGGATAATATTTACTTTTAGAAAAAAGCAATCAGAGATAAACAGTTGATCTGGCTGGCAGGTTATGTTCCAATTTTCGTATCATAGAAAAAATATGAACAATAAAATTTTTATCTATTTAGGTAGAGTTGTCGTGTAACCTGTGACACATGAATATCATAAAGTGGTGGGATAGCATCTTGTGGCAGTGGCTTGTCGTCTGCTGACAGGGCATATTCATCTGGAAAAAAAAAAAAATATATATGTATATATATATATATTCATGTATGGAAATAAACCTTGCAGATTTACTTTTGAAAAATAAACATTCAGCAAATATCTGTCTATATTTCTGAGATGAGGTATTATGTACACTATTTACATTATTCGCCATATTTACATTATTGTCACCATATTTATTACAATGTTTCAGCCGTTGTATGCTCCGGCCTTCTTCAGGTAGTTGGAATGTCGAACTGAACCCTTTATTTCGCTCACTGGGGTAGACTGTTCTAGTTCCACGTGCCATGTTTAATGGATGTCAGTTATCAGTTATCTCTTGTTAATTCTCCTCTCCAAGTTCTCCACTGCCTTAACCGGGTATAAGTGACAAGACCCAAAGAGTGTAAGTTCAATACCTGGTTAAGGCAGTGGAGAACTTGGAGAGGGGAATTAACAGGAGACAACTGATAACCGACATCCATTAAACATGGCATGTTGAACTAGAACAGTCTACCCCAGTGAGCGAAATAAAGGGTTCAGTTCGACATTCCAACTACCTGAAGAAGGCTGAAACGTCGTAATAAATATGGCGATAAAGATGAGGACAATAGTCCAAATAATGTAAATTCAGCAAATAAATGAAATGAAAAAATGAAATGAACAGAGAGATTAAGACAAAAGAGAATTTCAATATCTAAATATTTAGTGTATTTTTAAGACCTCTTCAACATTTTATACACAAAACCCACATGTGCAGTAATAAAAAAAAAAAATATTAAAATATTAACAAAAAATTACATTTACTACAAATTTTCACATTTATTGCAGTCCCTCAACATTTACTATTTGAATTAATTTAGCTGACCTGATTAACAGATAAAACAAACTTTTCACACCGTATATGCCCGAGTATAGTGCAAATTTGTATGGACATTTTTTTTATTTTTTTACAGAGAAAGGTCATGCTATACACAGGTAATTTTTTTTTTTTGAAGAGGTTAAAAATTATACTTGGAGACCAGTTGCACTAGACACAGGTAATTTTTTTTTTTTTCTAAAGTTGTTGAAATTCATTTAAAGAATTTAGCGGTTACACTATACATGAAGTTGGCTTACACACTAATATATATATATATATATATATATGTTAAAATTCATGAAAAAAAAAAAATCAGATAAATAATCTGCAACAATTATCTCCCTTGGTTAGGCTTTTTTTTGTAGTTGCTACTACTATTTGTTCAGCTACTTTTCTTTGATTAAAAAAAAAAAAATAGAGTAAATCCTTTTTATTTATGCCTCAACTTGCTATTACGTTGTCAACATCATCAACTCTGTTTGTTTTCCTTGATTTAAATTCTTAAGTGTTTCGAACTTCTTTGCACTGTTTTTACTCAAATTAAGTAGTGACCAAGACGAGCAACTGCTAGTCGAAATATTTCTATAAAAATAAATCATTCATTGGAACAACAGGTTTTTTCTTTTATGCTATCAATTTCAACTGTAAAATGAAGAAACTTAGCTGCCAATCTAGTACTATGTTTAAATTTTGTAAACTGAAGCTTAAAATAATTGAAACCAGGATGCAATGTGCCTCAGCTTCAGTTACTTTACCATAACTGTAATGTAACTTCCCTTTGCATTTTCTATAAATATTTTCATGGTAATTGTTCTAATGAACTTTTCTTTTTGACACCTCAATTTTACAAAATTTAAGCATCGTACTAGAATGGCAGTTAGGTTTCATCATTTTACAGTTGAAAATTGATAAGTTTCTTCTCTTGAACCTCTCACTTGTGGAATTCTTTTCTAGCTTCTTGCTTCCCAGTCAACTTTGATCTTTAAAAATTTAAATGCAATTTCAATCATTATCTTCTGTCACCTTGAATCCTGTTCTTTTATTGTCCTCTCTCTACTTAAGTTGTTGTTGTTTCTTTTTTTTTTATCAGATTCTTTCACATTTAGTAACCGCTTCTGTTTTAGTGGCTTTATCACCTTTCTTGGGATGAAATGATTTAAAAAAAAACATCCCAAACTACAAATTCAATTTAAATAGCCACGTGTGCTTATTACAGTTAATGAAAATAAATTGATTACCAAGTTATCTCCCTTTTTAAAAAAAAAGTTGCAACTGACTTCTCATTACCTGTAACAATACTCAAAGAATCCAGACTCGGAGTGTTGATAAACACCGATGCTATATACGTGAAGTAGCCAAGCAATACCAAAACAATTACATAAGCAGGTAAAGCCACAGCCCAATATCTACAAAATAAAATAAAAAAAAAAGAAAAATATTTTGTATAATTAAAAGTTAGGATCTGTCTAGATCTCTGAGAGGAGGTATTATGATTATTTACATTATTTACATGTTATCCTCATCTTCATTGCCATATTCACAACGTTTCAGCTGTTGTATGCTCTGGCCTTCTTCAGGTGATTGGAATTTCAAACTGAATCTTTTATTTTGTCCACCAGGGTAGATTGTTCTACTTCCACATGCCATGCCTTTTCCAGATGTCTCAGCTATTTCCCTTTAACTCTCCAAGTTTTTGTTCACCATTGCTGTGGCCTGGTATTGAACTCACAACTCTTTGGGTCTAGTCACTGGATCTAACCAACGTCTTTATTCACTGGGCCGAAACGTTATGAATATGGAAATGAAGATGAGGATAACAGTTCAAATAATGTAAATAATGCAAGTAAAAGTTAGGAATTTATAAAATTCTTTATAACATTTTGACAATAAAACTATAAATGCTCTTTTTATACAAAAGAAACACATTAAAAGCATATAATGACTGAGTGGCCATTTTTGTGGTTGAAATAGTTTCACATTTTCTCACTAGCGTCAAGTCAAAACCGAAGCCAAGAATTCTAATGTTGATTTGCCAGACAGACAAGTCCTAATTATTACCAATTTTCCTTCAGTTGACTCTGTACCTTACTTAGTTAAGCTCAGTAAATAATTAGAATATGATAATTTTACCATTATTATGTATTCTTTTTCAAGACGTAGGATGTATCGTCAGTGGTAGTATTTTGCAGTGAAGCAGTCGACTTGGCTTTACTCAGATAAATTGAGATACATAACTGTATTTGTCCACAGCCTACATCCAATTCTCACAGATACCTCCAAGAAGTCACATGGGCACTGTGACAGCCACATCCCAGTCAACAACATCAACCTGCTGGCTAAAATGTGTGAGGGTATTCAGAAGGGTTTACTCGCCCGACCAGTGAAGAGGAATGCCTCTCCCCAACACATCTGTGCCAAGTGCCTATTGGCAAGTCCCAAACCTGGGCATAGGAAACTGTACCTCAGAGGTCAATGGCTTTACCAGGAGGTAGAGGAGGGACAGGATCACTTCAACATCCCCCCCATGCAAAAGGAACCACCAACCAGCCATTTCACTATTTTGCCTTTTTAATGTCATCATGAACCACAATTACAAC